TGCTGTCTTTGCTTTCAGGAGCAGAAGATACAAACCTGATTACTGCTGTTAAATAAATGCTTTTACTTCTAGTACTTTTACTCTGCAGTCCATCCTTGATTGGTTCATTGTTGTATTTTCTTGCAGTATGTATTCAGTGTACATTTGTCCCTGGTTGCTGTTAAAGCAGGCTGAGTTTTCTTGTCATAAGTTGTGTTATAGAATAAAACATGGCCTCAGCTCGTCTTGATAACTGCCTTCCTTCAATATGATCACAGAGCAGAGCTGCACAGTCTTTTGGGAGAGTAATTTAATACCTTATTACACCCAGAAAATTTTAAACATTGTAATCTACTACATGTGAAACTAACAGGTGAAAAGGTCGAGCTCTGGAAACAAGTAAAGGCTCAGCCACCTACATGCAGGTCAAATAAACCAGTGAACTGTGGGTTGGGCCTTATTATAAACTGTTCTGGTAGTTTGTAAAGAAGTTCACTGACATCATAGTCAGGTATTAATGCCAACGTGTGGTGAGAGTCACATGTCTGGGTTTCACCTCTGCAGTCTGTGTACACACTCACGACGCTGCAGCATCAGCACTTTAACTGAACTGTAAACAGAGAGTGTTTAATTCATTTCTTTGTATAATATGATGTTAATTCAACGACAGAAGAGACTTGATGATCACTAAAGTAGGTGGGGGAAAAATTGATGTTTTTATTGATGTAACTGATGTATATCGTGCATCCCTAGTTTGTTTAAAGCTGTCTTGTATTCTTAAGATCCCTTTTGTTCAACTACAAACAGCCTTGAAATCGTCATTGTCAAACCCACCAGACTCCATTTGAATAAACAGTCATTTTAATATCAACAGACACACTTCATTCAAAGATGACAGAAACAAAATAAAACTCACAACAACCATCTTGGTTTGTCTTGTCACTGTTCCAACAATCACCAAGTTTAGTTTGATTGAAATAAACCCTTTAATTCACCCGGTTAGATGTGAAGATATGCTGCCTCTATACACGCTACAATTACTGCTTTTTTAAATGGAGTCTGGTTGGTTTGGCGATGGAGCTTTCAGGGCTGTTTCTGGTTGAATAAAAAGGATCAGTAACACTTTACTTGAAGGTATTGACATAAGGGAGACATGACACTGTCATAACTATGACATGACACGGTCATGAACCTGTCATGAACATTATGCACGTCATAAATGTTTATGACTGCTGTCATTAAGTGTTTTTAAGGGTTTTTGTAATGACAAGTTGACATTGTTTGGGTTGTCTTGATTATGACAACTTGACATTAATCAAAGTGACATTACCGGAAATTGTCTTTGTAATGACAAGTTGACATTGTCTGGGTTGTCTTGATTATGACAACTTGACATTAATCAAAGTGACATTACCAGAAATTGTTTTAGTAATGACAAGTTGACATTGTCTGGGTTGTCTTGATTATGAACTGATTATGACAACTTGACATTAATCAAAGTGGCATTACCGGAAATTGTCTTTGTAATGACAAGTTGACATTGTCTGGGTTGTCATGATTATGACAACTTGACATTAAACAAAGTGACATTATCAGAAGTTGTCTTTGTAATGACAAGTTGACATTGTCTGGGTTGTCTTGATTATGACAACTTGACATTAATCAAAGTGACATTACCAGAAATTGT